ATGAGCTGAGTCCTAGATCCGTCAACTTGGTGAAAAGCTTGGAGGGAATTATTGTGTTGAATGCTGAACTGTAGTCCACGAACAGCATCCTCTGCCAGTGTCCAGGTGACTCAGGGATGTGTGAAGCAGGTGAGATATGGCATCAGTTTATGAACATAAACATAAACAGTTTATGATCTTTAAAATGAATTCTGAATTTATTAAATTTCTGTACTCATTTCTGCACTCACAATGATATGTAATACGTGTTTTAAACAATATAATTATGAAGACCTCTGTAACTAGTAATTATTTAAAGTATTTTAAAGTGAAACCTCATCCATAAGGTGCATCATGCGACTAGGATGTTCAAAGACAATGACAACTCGAGCTGTAGAGGTTTTCATCAAATCAACAATCCTCCGGAGTTCATCTGTGTCTTTGTCCCAGGGTAAAACCTCAGTGTAGGCCAGGCAACCTTCACCAGACACACTCAGCTCAGACTGAAAGGATCTGGCTGCATGAAGTCCATAATCATCATCACTGACGAGCAGACCTGCCCAAGTCCAGCCGAAATGTTTTAGAATCTGGATCATTGCACGTACCTAAGTGAATACAGATTAACGTGTAAGTGCACCGAAAAGAAAAGGAAAACTTTCGGCGTGTTATTTATTTTTTTTCATCATCCACAATACAGCATTTAAATATAATTGCAATTTAGGCTTAATCTCTGAGATAATACAGATATTAAATAGAGTGTAATTCTCAAAACTAATTATATTGTTATTTCTAATATTTTCACATCCTTGTGTTTTCTTCTTTTACACAGATATTGAAACAGACTTTTGCATTTCCATTTTAATTGTGATGACAAATTTTCACCTGGAAAGCATCACTTGGGATCGTTCTAAAGAAGGATGGATACTTTTGACGGTCACTCAGGCAGGAACATGTGGCAAAATAACTCACCTGTGAAAGATACAGACTGTATATTGGGGCGCTATCCACGTAGAGATATCTTAACTTTGTCATCATGACTGCATTATTTTTTTCATAAAATGGTTTTACATTTTCAATTATATCAAATTAATCCATGAAAACTGTCACATGGTCAAGCAGAAAACTTACCATAGGTACTCTGTACAAGCCTAAGACGTTGGAGATTGCAATAGAATTTGTAGAAGATGAATCACCGACAACCCCTATGACTGGAGGATTTCCAACACATGTATCATCTACTACAATTTGATCCTCTTGACCACTGGCTAATGACAATGCTCCACGGAATCCAATTCCAAGTTCAAGGCAGTTATCATACAGAGTGTATCCCAGAGTCACATTTGGTAGCAGGTTTGAGTTTCTGTTGATCTCATCAATAGCAAAGGCCATGGTCTGTGCAAGCTTAAATCCTAGGACATACACACTAAGACAAGAAAATTTTAATTACTAATATATATAATACAACACAGGTTTTAAATTACAAGTAAACGAGTGCCTTTTGAAAAAGTTAAAAAAGTAGAAATATTATAAACAATTAAGGATACTGAATAAATAAAGAAACAATATATATGCAATATAATATCTGACAATAAAATATATGTACAATGCAGATTTTAGAAAAATAAGAAAATGAGTGCAGTTTGAAAATGTTGCAAAAGTAATGACATTTTAATCAATTAAGGAAACTGAATAACAATTAAATATTATTGAAAAAAAATGAAGATCCATTGTGTAGTTATTTTAGATATAAAATACATATTTAAACTGGAAATAAGTTTAACAGTTTTCTTATTCCATTTTTTTCATTCTGTTTCCCTGTCATAGTTACCCATGGCAAGTAGGCTTTTGTGGCTGCGAGGTAAAAGACAGATCAGGAACACTTGAAAAGAAATGGACTTGAAACAGTCCACCCAGAACCACATCTCCAGTTTTTTGCATCTCATTTAGATGAAACTGTCCCTGCAGCTGACAGGACAAAGAAAACTGAGGAGTGGATTGAGTCGAAGAAACACAGGAATACAGCAAAACAACCACAACTAAATTGTTATGCAAAGATGAGCACATGGCAGCTTTCTGAATTGTTGAGACCAGTCATTA